GATGGATGAATGGATGGATGGATGGATGGATGGATGGATGGATGGATTTTAAAATACCATGAAGCTTCATTTCATTCAGAATAAAGTGTAATTTGCTGCAACATTAACTTTTGAGTTATTTTTCCTACAACATCCTGATTCTTATTGTTTTACTAAATCTTTTTAATAGACACATATTTTTTTAGTAAAGATACATGTATTTTTGTACTGTGTTGTTTTGATCCATAGTACATCAGGTATTTCTTTTGGTGTCCGAGTGCGCCCCATGTGTTAAACGGAGTTAATAAAAACAGTGGCTGGTTGTTTCATTTGATTAAGTCAAATACTGACTTACATCTTAACATTTGTCTCAAAAATACAAATATCACTTTGATTTTGAGAAAGAACGTAGATTCTTATGTCACAAGGCACTTGTTTTATCCCCATTGACATGAAGTGGATGAGGAAACTAACACGCGCACGTTGTGAGGGCTGTGATCACCACACTCAAGGAGGACGTTAGTGTGGCTGGAAAAACTTCTGCTCTATGCCAGACGTTCCCTGATTAGGATGACAATCATCATTTACTGTCTTTCATATATTGACAGCTATGCTCTCACCTTTTTTTTTTACTTCAGCAATGTCCTGCAGTTCATTCTGTTGTGGCTTTTTCTTGTTACACTGCACTTGGATCAGTACTGCTACACACACTTAGCCAGCTAAACTTAATTGTCCCTTTTGTACCAAGAGATGCTGCCTGTCAGAACTGTGGCCCCTAAAACAGACGTCAAGTAACCCTCAGCTGCACCCAAGACCTCTACGTCATTTGGCTTTATTTTATTTTTTAAACATTTTAGCTGTGCTTTAAAGTATGAGGGTTCCAGTTCCTGGTTCTCCTCCTCTCGTTACTGATCAGTACTCCACAGTCAGAAGCAACAGGTGTTCTCAGTTTACCACAGCTGCAACATCCTCCTGAAAAACTGAAAATTGCTCTCTCGTGCAACCTGACCACAATCAAAGGAGCGTGCTGCTCTGGTTACTTTTACCAGGTCACCTTTCAGCAGGACACTTTACCAGGTGAGTTGTGTCTGTATTTTTAACGTCTGCGTATTCTAAATAATAGTTTGTGTAATTGTAAAGAGCTTTCATTTTGAACAGAATCTGGTGTGGTCAGAGTGAAAACATGAAGCCAGTGATTCTTGCAGTTTTGGTTTTGGTGCTTGTCAGCCAGAGTGAGTAAATCTGCAAACCTAGAATTTATTAAATTGAATGAATAAAAACACACCTGGTATGTTCTATCAAATTTGTTTGTTTCCAAGGTGAAGCCCTGAAATGTTACTGTGGCGGTGCCATATACTGTCCACATCCTGTAGTTTCATGCTCCATAGACGACCAAGTCTGTGGCCACGTCGTCTACCACGATCACCGTGAGTACAAACCACTTTATTTTTTATTTTTAAAGTTTTGATCATTTAAACCACAAAACTGACTGAGTGGGAAATAAACTATTTTTGTCCACAGCTTCGCATTTCATCAAAGGCTGCTACCATGCACCTGACTGCAGGAAGCTGAATCATCCTCCTCGTGTAACTGCCACTTGCTGCCGGACGAACCTTTGCAACTAATTGTCATCAAGCAAAATATCTTCTGATGACGCAATGGTCTGAAGCTGCATTCCTTTCAAAATAAAATCCAAATAAAAACTAATGTGTTTTTCACCAAAACTTCATTTCTCTTCCAAACATTATTTGGTAACAGCTGTGTTCCCCCAGTTGGTGCCATTTCGTCAATTGAAATCAAAACGTCAATTCATTAAGGACATTCCTGCCAAAACTTTTAGTGTTTTGTGCTGTTTCACTTTTTAAAATCACTTTTCTGCCAGTTTCCAGTTTGAAAACGTTGTTTTGCTGCTTGCAACTTTTTATTTTATTTTTTTATTATCCTGCTGCGCCCCCCCCCCCCCCCCCAATAACTCTGTTTTTTCTCAGCTTAAAAATTTTGTAAATTGTGCGATTTTTTTTTTTAGAATGGAAGTATCCAGTGCTTCACTTTTCCCAATTTCTGTTTAGTCTTATTTAACATTGTATTTAAATTCTTCCACACTACCCATGGTACAAGGCTGTTGAATGCAAGAGACTCTGTGCACGCTCCTTCACACAAAGAACTGTTGCTCAGGATATACTTGTGCTGTGCTCGACTTGAACTGAGCCTGAAATATTAAGTGCTTCAAGAAGGCTTAGGACATGTAGCAGTCTGCCACATACACCAAGATAAACTTGATCAGGTGGACATGAGGGAGATTTTTGTCAGTCTTGTTAAAGGACAGAAGGTGGCACTTTTTTTTTTTTTTTTTTTTTTTTGAAGCTTTGTCTAAACTGAGCAGGAAGAACTTCTGGTCTTTGCCCTAAGATTTGATAAGTCCAGCTGTTCCAGTATAGGGAAAACCTTGAAGGAGAAAGATTGAGAAGGAACCCAAGTAACAAGTTTTCTGGGGAAAACTATGTGCATGGGGAATGAAAAGTGGGAAAGAAAACCCTAAGAAGGGAAATGGATTTTTTTTTTTTTTAATGCAACCTTTTATTTCTACAGGTAAATCCCATTTGAGCCTCAAGGACTCCTTTACTCCTATTCAAGTGGACACCTGGACAGGTCTCCAATCTGTCAAAGACAAACGAGACATTCACATCTAGAGACAATTTATTTACTGATCAGTCTAACATGCATGTTTTTGGTCTGTGGGAGGAAACTGGAGTACCCAGAGAAAACCCACGCATGCACGGAGACGACATGCAAACTCTACTCTGAAAGGCCCCCGGACCACAATTTGAACCAGAGATGCAGCAATTCTGTCAACTGCACCACCGTACTGTCCATATTCCTGGACCGACATCAAAATGTGGGTGGGAAAGGTGAAACACCCACACATGCCTCCACCCTCATTTACCTCACTCTGGGCCCTTGAGCAAGGCCCTTTGACCCCCACAATCTGCTCCCAAATGGGTTTCTCTTGAAAATGAGTCCTCATGAGACTACCTGTATATAGCAAAGGTTAAATACGAATAAATACTGTACATCCATCCATGATCCATTATCTTTACCTGCTTCTTCCTTTTAGGGTCGCGGGTAAATACAATATATATTCAAGTCGTCCTTTCTTGCAGTTACCACGTTTGTCCGGCAGGTGGCGGTGTCTGCCTGGTCCGACTCCTGTCATCCAGCTGCACAGTGGGGGAGCGGGGGGGGGAGGACCCGGGAGACACCGCAGATGCACCGAAACTGCTCAGAGAACTCCGCAGAACAGAACAAAACCAGATCTTTGAGTCGAACAATTCGTGTTTACATTTTTAATTCACGTGAACGCCGCCCTGTCGTGGAATAGAACACACGAAGAAGACCCTGGACTCTTCTTCGTGTGATGAAGCTGCAGGGATAACTTGTGAAGTGACCCGGTGGCTCGGTGGACCTGTCGGGGCTGCACGGTGCGGCAGGAGCCGGACTCGGTTTAAAGGTAAGCGCGGGGACGGAGCAGCGGGGCTTGTCGCTCCTCACTCCGGCTGTCGGAGAGCTCAGAGAGCGGAGGAGCTCCGAGCATCTCCATCACACACGGAGTTCTGCTGCGGCACGCGGGGGTCTCAGGGTGGGGTCTCCAGAGCCGGAGGGGTCTCAGCATCTTTTGTGAGAACCATCTGTTTAACACATTCAACAGCATTACAATGAACCTTCCTTTATTTTATAAAGTTTTACCCGTGTCTGTGCATGTGAGCTCGTTTGTCTGTTAGCAAAACTTCTCATGAACCACTGGACAAATGTGAATGAAACTCCCCAAATGTAACCACTGAATGTGCATCTGCAACTGATTAGCTTTTGGGGTTAACTAAGTTCAAGATGGATGCATAAACTAATCGACCAGAGCAAACACATAAATGGCTACATCTCAGCCACGGTTACTCACAATGAGCTACATTTTGCAGTGGTAGTAGCTGAGAGTCGTACACAACATGAACTCTGAGTGTTGCACACTGTGCAGCACTGCTGCGTAAGATGTTGGCCTTAACTCTTGGAGTCATCCTCTGTTGTCTGTTAGCCAAATATCTCACGAACCACATATTAAGGGTTTTGACAGTTTGTGCAAGGTTTGTTATAAAGTGCTTAACATTATTTTTATGGTTTGACCAAAATGGCCACAAGTCTTTTTCAGTTTAGGATAATCTTAGTCTAACATGGTGAGATGAAAGGCTGCGAGCGATATGCATTCCTTCAAACCTTTAAGTGATTTCCTTGATTTTCTGTGGTTCGCTCATCATCAATACTAATAATAAAGTGTGTGAGAAAGACACAGGTGTATTCCTTCTGTATTTACTGCTCAGGGTCAAACAGGCTTAAATCCTGCTGCTAAGATGAAAGATAATCTGAGATGCTGCTTGTGCCGATATCCCAGAAGATGATTAAAAAACAGACCTGATGTGAATCCAAGGATTACCGTATTTCCTGGACTACCAGTTGCTCCGGCGTATAGGTCGCATCAGTCAAAAAAAAAAAAAAAAAGCCTTGTTAAGAGGAAAAAAAACATTTTATTTTACATTATTAGTGTTTAGTGTATATTTTAGATCCTTGTATACTATTTATTTTTATATTTTTGATATTTTTGGATGTAACTGGGATCTTGAGTACACAGTTTCATTCCACTTCATGTACCACATGTGATGCAAATGACAATAAAGAGCCATGAACCTAATTTCAGCTTGTTCTGTTCCTTTCGGCTTATTTCTGCAAGTTTAAGCTTTTTCTACTATTTCAGCTACTATATAGCTGTTATATGCTAATTGAAGAGGCAGCATGGTGGCGCAACTGGTAGAGCTGCTGCCTCTCAGCAAGCAGGTCCCTGGTTCAAACCCCGGTCCTGGGGCCTTTCTGGGTGGAGTTTGCATGTTCTCTCCGTGCATGCGTGGGTTTTCTCCGGGTACTCCGGTTTCCTCCCACAGACCAAAAACATGCATGTTAGGCTGATTGGTAACTCTAAATTGTCCCTAGGTGTGAGTGAGAGAGTGAATGGTTGTTTGTCTCGTTTGTCTCCATGTGTCCCTGCGATGGACTTGCGACCCGTCCAGGATGTACCCCGCCCCTCGCACAGTGACTGCTGGACATGGGCACCAGCGACCCCCGTGACCCAAAATGGAATAAGCGGGTAAAGAAAATGGATGGATGGATGGATGCTAATTGAAGCTTTTTCAGCTAATTCCACATTTTTTTGCATTCGTTAAAAAAAAAATTCAGCCTAATTCAGCAAAAATGTGCTCTGTCCACTTCCTTCTGGTAATTTAAGCTTCTTTCTGCCTTTTAAGCTACTTTTAAACTGTTTTATGCTAATTTCAGCTTTTTCAGATACTGTCCACTTTTTGTGCTCATCTTTCAGCAAACAATTCTGTTTTCTTCTTCTAATTTAAGTTTGTTTTATCTTTTCAGCTACTTTTTTATTTTTAGCATTTTTAGCTAATTTCAGCTGTTTTTAGATTAAAGATTTTTGTGGTAATTTCTGCTACTTTTAGCCTACTGGTAGTTAACTTCTTTCTGCTCATTTTAGCTTGTTATGCTTGTTTCAGCTTTTTTCCTGCTAGTTTCACAGTTTTCTTCTATTTCAGATACTTTTTAGCTGTGTAGATGAACATATGCTGATATATATTCATAAATTAAACGGATTCTTTCATTTTTCTGGACTGGATAATATCGTGCATTGAATAATTAAAAATGTAACGTGAGACGTTAATTATCTTTGACCCATCAAAATGAACGTGGTCATTTATTTTCAGAATCAAAATTTTAACATCATACATTTACATTAATTGGCAAATTGGAAAATAACAACATGGCTAATTTAGCAAGTTTTACAAGGAGTAGACAATACGGCGATTGTTTTCTCACTTCCAGCAGTACAACAGACATTAACCATACGGCGATGGTTGAAAAACTTCACAACAGACATTTCTGGAAATATCTGGATTAATTTGCTAGCAGATAGAAGAGTTTAAAGATTGAAGTTTAGAGGGAGGGAGATGGTGTGTGTGTGAGTGAAAAGTGTTGAACAGAACGGCACCCTCCATTCGACCCAGCTTTCCTCGGTACGCTCGGTAGTGAACTCGACTCATTACCTCTCTGACGATGAATCAGTGGAAGCGGAGCTCCAGTTAAGCTACCGGTCCAGCGTCTCCGTAGGATGGCAGAGAACCGTCCGGAGTGGTGGCGGGACTTCGTCAACAACAGTTCACCTCACGAGTGGACTTCACATGAGTGGAGTCCTTCAGAAGTTCCACTCAGAGGTGGAAGATGTCATAATTCCCACAAGACTCGGAAGAGCTCTGGATTATGCTGGACTTCTGTTCTCCCAAACGACTGGAGCTGCAAACTCTCCACCCGACTCCAACTGGGTTGAACTAGGAAGTACCGACATTTAAAGAGCTCTATTTCCGGTTCATTTGGGAGTTTCTGATTGGTCGATGGACCAAAACAGAGGTGTGTTTTGTGATGTAAGGTGTTATTAAAAAGTCAAGGAAAAAGATTAAGATTGTTTAAGAACAGACAGAAGATATTATGAAGAACTCAGACTTCGTGGAGTCAATTCTCTAGTATCTTGCTGTAAAAGTTAAACATGACATTTCTTTTTCAGTAAACTTGCAGTTGACCGAAACTTGAACTTTGACCAACTTACACAA